AATTTTCTCATCATGAGAAAATTTTTCTCTTGAATATTTGATACCCATTTTACATTATTTTAGCGTGTAATCAATACATATCGAATAAAAAAAAATCTGGAAAACGGTTGGCCCTAAAGGCGATCCCTGTAACTTCCCGCTAATTCCATAAATAAACTCTTAAAATTGCACTTATGATGTTTTTGAGCTCTTCGAGCTCAAAAATATAATCTATCCCTGACGGATCCAAAGTGCGGTAGAGTACGGTAATGTACGGCAAATTTACGGTAGGGTACAGTAGAGTACAGTACGTACAGTGATTTACCGTAATACAGTATGACACCGTAAATTACGGAGATTGTACGGCAAAGTTCCGTTATTGTACAGTAATTTACCGTTATTGTACGGTAAGATACCGTGATTGTACGGTAAAATACCGTAATTGTTAGTAAAATACTCTAATTATCCGGTAAATAAAGTGCTGTTTTTGTACGCTAAAGTACCATAATTGTACGGTAATTTACCGTAATTGTACGGTAACATCGCTTAAATAAGGTATATTTGACGGTAGGTTACCATTGAAATACGGTAGTGCGGAAAGTTCAGAAGTATATATTCTACCGTATTTTCACCGTACACTACCGTAGTTGTACCGTAATTTTACCGTTCTATACCGTATTTTCACCGTTTTTTTTACCGTACATTACGGTGTTTTACGGTTTCTACCGTGCAAGTAGAATACTACTGTAATCTACGGTGGCCATACGGTATATCGACCGTATTTTTACCGTATAATACCGTAATTTTACGGTATTTCAGATCCGCCAGGGATATGTTATTTTGAGATCTCTGAGCTCATAAAGTTAGCTGTTCTAAGCTTTTGAGCTCTTCGAGAGAGTCGTTCAAAAATTATAAGAGGTTTACCCGGGTAAAAAAGATTATATATAATTATACATTATTAAATGGCCCTATATAATTATATAGAATCAGATATAATTATATAGAATCATATGTAATTATTTCTAGAAAAATAAAAAAAAATTCGGTGAGCGCGGGGATCGAACCGGGGAATTGACGCTTTTAAGACTGACGCGCTACTTTTTTTTTTTTTTAGAAGTTTATTTGCTTTGATAAATACATTTTTCAATACAGTTTAGGCCGCATAACATAACATAAAAAATAGCCTTAAGAGTTTAAGATAATAATATAAAATTATTTCCGTTGTGTAGGCCGCTGGTCTCCTTGATTGGAGCGGCTGGTGCCTATCCGTTTTTTCCTAAATTAATTTAGTGTTTTTTTTGTACTCTCGTTACTTAAATAATTAATATTATGATTTATGAATATTCTACTTTCTTTTATAATGAAATTTTTAGTGGAAAGTTATCGTTAAAAAACCACTTTTGTTCACTAGTTTCATTTTTAAGCTTAAAAACTAAATAAATAATAAAATAAATAACTAAAACTATGACTAAAACTAATTATGTACAAAAATTAACAGTCCTTAAATTACTATCACACTACACTACTTGGGTGTATTCTTCTTCTGAGCTCCTTGCGGTATTTGGATTCACTGGTGAGCCACCAATATTTGTCATCTAGTCGATGATCATCCATTTTGTCTCTAGTAGGCATAGCTTTTGAATAGGTGAAGTCGACCCATCTAAATTTGGGATCGTCTGCATCATATTCTATCTTTTTGTGGGCTTTGTGTCTCTTCCAATGATAAATAGTTGGTAGATTATCTTCGTCTTGGATGAGACCTTTATCATCTAGTGGCAGGAACGCTTGCGGTGGGAGCATGCCTGTTTCATTTCTTTTTTTTAGGTCTTCGGCTGTGAACTTGGCCAGGCTGTTGATCGCAGAATTTTCAATTGATGGTAGCTTGCTGAAATAGTCTCTCATTAAACAGATGATGTGGCTATCTATTAGAGTAGTCCAAAAAAAACATTTTTATTTTTTTTTTCAAGTGCTGCTGTCTCAAAAGCTTTTCTAAGGTATAAAAAAAAATTTTTCTAAAGCGCAGCTTGATATCTCAATTCTTCATGAAGCTCAATGAATTTTTATTTTCCCATTTAAATAACACGTAAAAAAATTTTATTTACGTTTTCACCCGGTAAAACTACGAAAAAATTTTTTTTTGTATTTTTCTTAATTATCCTTGTAGGAAATTTAATTCTCTACAAAAAAGTACTGAAGTAGTTTTTTCGTAATCTTAACGAGTAAAAAGTTATTAACTCTTTAATCTCAAAGACTAAAAGCTTTAAATACTCGCAATAAAAGAAAATTCAATCAGATATGATTTTAGAATCCATGTTGTATCACATTTTCTGTTTCAAAGTATTTGATTGTATGTAATTTATATTTTTTTCTTATGAACATGGTATACAGTCTAATATCGGTAATTCAGTCTGGACCAGTGACATCAAATGACAATTTACTATATCGGTTTGTTTATTTGAACCACATGTAAAATGCACTGAAGGAGATTACCAGACTTTGTAAATACTCTAACCACTGATTAAAAAAATTTAACTAGATAATTTACTTTTAGCACTCTCTTGCGGCCTACATGAAGATATATAGTAAATTAAATTTTTTGTTGACAATTAGTTTTTTACCCTAAACTAACTGCATTTTAATAATTATGTCTTATAAGTCATATAAACGAAAATAAGAAAAAATCAAAAAGTTAAATCAGTCTCAAAGATTCTATTGGTTGTAAGTTTATTAGCAATTTCTTTATAGTCAAGCTTATTTACTTAAATATGTGATGACTCCTGAGATAAGCCAGTTTTACGTACGAACTCTACCTATTTATTTGAAATAAATACATGCAGTTACCAAAAAAGTTTTCGAAAAGTTGCTTTGAAACTATCTTCGTTTAAATTTTCTTTTGTGCAAATATTTAAAGCTCAATAACTTTTTACTCGTTAAGATTACGAAAAAACTACCTCAGTACTTTATTGTAGAGAATCAAATTTCCTACAAGAATAATTGACGAAAAATACAAAAAAAAATTTTTTTCTTTATTCACGGCCGAAAGCACGTACTTGCTACATCTGTTGGGAATCAGAAAGACTGACATTTATGCTTTGGTAGGGGCGCGCATGCGCGCTGCTCTAGTGCGCTGGAAGAAACTAGTTGTGCACTGAATTGATGTACGAGGTAGCGAGAAAAAAGCATTCACCAGAGCTGACGCGGTTTATTGTGCACTCAGGCCTAACCTTAAAATTGCTTTTGTGGGTTCTTACGTCGTTGTGTGTTGAAATTTATAATCTAAAAAATTATATTGAGTGAAAAAAAATAAAAATTTTAAAAAATGAATGCGTTATCATCATCAAAAAGAAATTTTAAAAAATTTCAATACGGAAGCTGATCTAATAATAAGAATTATAAGAATTATAAGAACAGATACGTTACCTAAAAAGTCTGCAGATAAATATTTACACAGAAAGAAAGGTTCACTAGAACCAAGAAAATATTTTTCTTCCTAATTATTTTCTTGACACAAGAAATTTCACTTATTCCAACAAAATTAATTCAAAATTAATTAATTGTTTTGAGAAAATTTCGCTCTTGTTCCAAAAAATTAAGTTCTTGACAGAAGTAAATTTTCTTGTCTTGAGAAAATTTTTTTCTTGCTCAAAAAAATTAAATATCTTAATAATTAATTTTCATTAATATTTTTATTGACGAACATGTCAAATGGGAAGATCAAATAATATTGAATCATTTTTTTTCATTCATTATAAATAATTTTTATTGTTCATGTACTGATAATAGTTGTGATGAAAAAGAAAATATGCAATAATTAATTAAAAATAGTTCACAAATTACTCGAAATAATTAAAATTCTGATTAAATTAATGATTTTAATGTATTTGAGTAATTAAAAATTAATAAAAATAAGACTATTCAATTGAATTAATTTAATTTTAAAAAGTTACTATTATTTTTGTCTATTTAGATGTAGTCGATGCCCGCCCCTGACCAGCCGCACTCGCTTCGCTCGTGCCGCAAATGTCGGGCGGGCATCGACAACATACTAAGAACATTTAACTGTAACGTTAATTGATTTGTAAGTCAGCGTACTTTCGGCCGAAAATAAAGAAAAATAGTATACACCACACGGACAGAAAGTTTGAGAACCCTGAACTGCGCGCCATGATGCCCTCGGCTTCGCCTCGGGCATCATGGCGCACAGTGCAGGAATCTCAAACTTTCTGCCCTTGTAGTGTAATATACTATTCTTGGTTCTAGTGAACGTTTTTTTTTGTAACTCCTGCTTCCAAAATTCTACATTCGAGCCTTGCTCAGCAAACGCAAAGTTGCGTGTTCTCGTGATGGTTGCATACACTATAGTAGCGTGCGGGAAAGTAGGCGGAGTCAAACTTTCCAACTGCTTGACCGTGCAGGAATGAAAATTAGCTACAATAAATGTATAAGATTCATAGAATGTATATGTCCGCCACTACCACTACAAATCAAACTATCAAGCATACTGAGACTAATTCTAGCGCCTGCGTATACCAAATAACCACACATGAATAGCAGCTTGTCGATCATATGTTCAACTCTGTGAAATTACTAACCATAACTGCGTGTATTATTTATATTATTTATAATTTTTTGATAACTGATATAGTTCAGCTAATTACAATATTTCTTTATAAATAATAATTTCTCTCTGTTGAGCTTTGAAAGCAGTCGTTACAAAAAATATTGTTCGATACATATATCCCAACTGAGGCATTCACAGGGCTTAATTAAGACACTCGCCAAAAGAAACGACACGTTTACAATGAGACCGAGTACGCTTACCCCCACTCGCCTAACGGCTCGTACTCTGCGTACTCGGCCCCATTATAAATGCGCCGTTTCTTAGACTCGTGTCTCAATTTTTAAGCCCTGGGAATGCCTTACTTCGCACATATGTATCGAAAATATCTATTCTGTGTAGAAATAAAGTTGGCGATTTTTTTTTGCCTAGTCTAATATATAATTTTTATAACTTTTTTCAGCTTAATTAAATATACTAACACAGTTTTTTCTAATGTTATACTTCTACAATACACAGTGAGTTCTGTTATTCTGTGCGCCGTGTCATTTTTGATGTCTCGGACAGAAATAATGTCTATGACTTTCGCTGGGTTTTTGGGATACTTAATTACTTTTAATACTCAAATATTTCAGCAATGCTATTGCGCTCACATGTTGACACACGAGGCAAGTATAAAAATATTTATAAAATTCAAGTGATTCGTACACGTTAACTCATGATATCGCATATTTCAGTCTATTGAATTAATCGGGGGGATTTATGAAGCAAATTGGCCTAGTTTGAGTAATAATACCCGTAAATCCGTGATGATTATCATGTACAAGTGCCACAAGCCCATCATGATCACTAGTAGTTTTTTTGTGATACTGTCTCTGGATTCCTACACTAAGGTATGCTTTTTATTGAAACCAACTGTTAATATATTTCTAACCTAAACTCATTAAATTACTTACAGATCGTTAAACTTGCGTATACTATATTTAACGTACTAATATAATTTCTCTGAACGGCGAGAAATATATAGTAAATTATTTTCTTATTACCAGTCAACAATTTTTGTTTAAAGTTTCCTTCACTTATGATTAGATATACAATAAAGTATATAAAACTGAAAACTAACTTAGAAATAATATAAAAAATTATTTTGATCCCAATAGTTCTTACTTTCGAATTCGTAGATGAATTGGATGTTTTCTGTCTTCATACCCTTCCTTGCAGATTATAAAAATTATCTAAAAAAAATCACATTAATATCAAAAAGAAAATATTTTAATTTGTGAGTCACTTACCGAAATTTTTCTAAAAACTTTTATTGCTTGACACAGTTTTATTGGCTGCGCATTGGGCCCCTTAAATTAAATTAATTGAAATAATAAAACTAAACAAAATGAATCTAAATTAATAAATAAAAGGGTGCCACCAGGATTTTTAATCACGGTTTCTGGAACCGGAACCAGAGCTAAGCTTATCTTACAGGGAGAGAGAGTGAGAAAGGTGATCTGAAATAAATAAATTCTTAATTAACAATATATGGCCAAATTTATTAATAACAAAATTAATTAACAAGATGCGCATACTCACACTCTTGCTATAATTTCTAAACACTAGCTTATTACTAAAATCCTCAACTTGACTACCTCACTAGACTGACGAAACTAACTCCACGACTTGACAGACTATCACCTTGCACAAAGACTAATCGTATGCAAATGATCATTAACTCAGCTCACAGGAGTAATTGATTCAGTGACTAAACGTAAACCGATGTACTCCCGCAGCTTAACATACCCTGCTACAAGACAACGATCCAGTGACTAAACATAGACCTAGATGCCTTGCAGTTTCACACACATACCCCTTATAAAGTATCAAAAGTCTTAATCCTAACAGTACCCTCGTAGGGAGCGTCTATACTGCAGTTTCTAACTAAGTCGGGCTGTCCACTGGACCGTTACGCTCTAAGACGCTATTAACACTCTCTATCACACATAATATAATAACCCGCACAATTCTCACACACACTGATTTTACCTTACTTTCATTTATTAAAATTATAAAAAGTTAACAAAATTTACTTCCAAAATTTTACTACATTAACTCTCAACTTAAATATTTCAGTCATTAGCTAACAAATAAATTATAAAATATTTTCACGGCCAATAATTTAATCTCCAAAACTAAACTAAAACCGACGCCTAAATTTATTCTAATCAATTACGAGTTTAATACTCAACATTAAATAAATTTTCAGGAACATTCGACGCATAAATTTTATTTTCATTTCAACTCGTAATTTTATTATTAATTATAAAAATAATTCTTGTAAAATTTCATCAATTAATTTTAACTAAAAATTCCCGGACTTAATATCCACGTTGTTAATTAAATTCTAAGTTATTACAAAAAAACACTTTTTTCGATTTTTTTCGACAACGATATCTCACGAACGCATCAACCGATTCTAACGTTTTTGGTGGCGATCGATGGGGGTTTTCAAGGTTAAGAGCTGATTAGTTTTTGAGACCGATCGGTTCAGCCAATTCGGAGATATTTAAAAAAAATAAAAAAAAAAACAACTTTTTTTTTCACTTTTTTTGAATTTTCTCGAAATCTACCGGTCCGAATCAGTTCAAATTTTCAGGAAATCTAAGTTTAGTAAAGCCCTTTCGAATGACACCAACCACGATGAAATCGGTCAAGTCGTTCAAAAGTTACAAGAGGTTTACACACACACACACACACACACACA